TTATTACTCTCATGCATTTTAATCCATACGTTTATTGATTACAATATATATCTTTTTCATAAGTTTTTGAAAATACAAAGATTTCTACAACAGTCATATGTTATCGCTCCATTTTTTCTTTCTTTCTTTCTTTTCTTTTCTTTTCTTTTTTTTGTACATCGCTGGAAAAAAAAATCCGAAAAGTTTTGAGATAAAGATCAGGTTCCTGCTCTTTCTCCCTCGCTCTTCCTCGTGGGAAACCTGCAAGTCATATTTGCCAAAAGTCTCTCTCTCTCTCTCTCTCTCTCTCTCTCTCTCTCTCTCTCTCTCTCTCTCTCTCTCTCTCTCTCTCTCTCTCTCTCTCTGTCCACACACCGCAGTATAGGAGAGAGAGAGAGAGAGAGTGAGAGACAGAGGGAGAATCAGACAGACAAACAGATAGATAGATAGTTAGAGAGAAAGAGAGAAAGAGAGAGAGAGAGAAAGAGAGAGAGAGAGAGTTGAATAGATAGACAGATAGATAGATAGAGAGAGAGATGTACGTGTGTATGCTAATTATTCCACTTCTTTATCATATATATGTGTGTGTGTGTGTGTGTGTGTGTGCGTGTGCGTGTGTGTGTGTATGTATGTGTGCGTGTGTGTGTGTGTACGCATAGATAGATAAAGAGATACAAATGCAAGAGGAGGGGAACGGACAACGGACAGACATTCAAGCCAAAGATCGAATAAAAGACAAAATATTCCCCCCACCCCCACCCCCCCTCCAAGGCCTCTTCTCACCCGGACTTCCGTCACGTCCGAAAGAGTGACGTCAACCAAACAAGAGTCACGTGACCCCTGTCCATGACGTCACCAACACCTCCGTCACTTCCCCCTCTCTTTCCTTCTCTCTCCCTTTCTAAATCCCTTTTCCCCTCTCTTTCCCCTCGCTTTTCCCCTGCGCTTTCAGCTTGTGACAAAAGAAAGGACTTGTCTGCTCGGGGAATCCGCTCGGGGAGGAGAAAACAAAACAAAACAAAGATAAAAAAAAAGGACAAAAACACAAAAAAAACAAAAACGCATCGTCGGGAGAAAGATCGATAAATAGCGAATCATTTCAACGCCAATTGTGACGGTGACTATGAAACGGGGGGGGGGGGGGAGTGGGGGGGAGGGGGAGGGCAACGTTAATGATGCGGATGTTTTATTTTAACAATGATTCTGGAATATTTATATGAAGATGACGGTGTTTCCTGATGTTTGTTGGTTAGTGATGCGTAGTAGGGGCGGTGGGGGGGGGGGGTGAAAGGAGGCGGGAAATTCGTGAACATTTGAAAGAGCAATAAACAGGAGAGACAACACAAAATCAAAAATAGAGAAAGAAAGATATAGAAAGAGAAAAGAAAAGAAAAAAAAAGAGACATTATATCAATTATAACGAGATTGACGGCGAAGAATGAACAGACAAATAGAACAGAATCAATGAATAAAGTCATGAAGAGGGTACTTCTTCCCTCCCCTCCCCCCCTATCCCCCCTTCCTCCTCCTTCCCCCCCTACCCCCCCTACCCCCTCCCCTCATCTCGTCACAGGAGCTAATAATGCCATCGTTGAGCCGTTGAACAAATGTCAAATATTGGGGAAGAGACTCGATGGTATGGGGGGAGGGGGAGGGGGGTATGATAGGAGGGGGGGAGGGAAAGGTGATTATCACGCCGACCCCTTCTTCTGTCACCTTTCTATCTGGTTTTTATTTACCTTTTTTTATTTATATCTTTTCCCCCTCGTCCATTATCATCGGTTATCGATCTCTGTCTTTGTCTGTCTCTTCGTGATTTAATATTGCTCTTTTCCGTTTTTATTTCTTTTTTATCTCCTCTTTATCTATTCTTTACTATTATCATCACCTTCGTATTCGTCAAATTATCATTTAGTGTGATTACCTGTCTTTTACTTTCTCCCTTCTTCCTTCATTCTTAATGCTTCCCTCTTCCCTCTTCTTCTTCTCCTCCTCCTTCTTCTTCTTACCCCTCCTTCCCCTTTTTCTTACCTTCATCTCCCTCCCCACCTTTTCTTGCCCATTCCCCACCTCCTCATCTCCCAAAATTCCATTTATTTCTCATTTCCCTAACTCCTTCCCCTAAACTCCCTATGGCTCCTCCCCATTCCCTTCCACTTACCCATCTCCCCTCCCCTTTCCCCTTTCCTTCCTCTCTTCCCCAGTCTCCTCCTCTTCCCCACCCTATCCTGTCTTCCTTATTCAACCTCTTCCTCCCCATCCATTCCATTTCCTCCTTCCTCCTCTCCACTATCTCTTCCTTACCTCTTTCTCCTCATCCCCCACCTTCCTCCCCAACCTCCATCACCCCCCCCTCCTTCCCACACCCTCCCACCTTCCCTTCCCCCTCCCACCCTCTCCCTTCCCCCTCCCACCCACCCTCCCTTCCCACCCTCCCCCCACCTCCCCACTCCTCCCCACCCACTCCATCCCCCCACCCTCCTCCCCCAACCCCACCTTTCCCCCTCCCCCCTCCCCACCTCCTCCATTGTCTCGCTTAAACGCCATTGAATCCGCGATCGATGGAGGAGCCGATGATTATTAGCTCTTAATAGCGAGGGGAAAGCGATCACTTAATTGGCCGGGCTGCCTCACAAGTGCTAAACGGTGGTGGCGATGACTGTGGGGTCAGGAGGGTGGGGGTGGGTGGGGGGTGGGGGGTTGAGGGGAAAAGAAGGGGGTAGGGAAGAGGGGGTGGGAGGGGCTGAGGGGAAGGGTTGGGGTTGAGGGGAAGAGATAGGGGTAGGGAAGAGGGGGTGGGGGGATGGGAAAGACCGAGGGGAAGGGTTGGGGTTGAGGGGAAGAGATGGGGGTAGGGAAGAGGGGGTGGGAGGGGCTGAGGGGAAAAGATGGGGGTGAGGAGAAGGGACGGTATAAAGATAGTGATGAGAAAGGGGAAAGAGGAAGGAGAAAGAAAAGGGGGGTAAGGAAGAGAAGGAAAAAGGGAGTGGGGAAGAAGAACCGAAGGAGAGAGGGAGAGGGAGTGGGGTGGGAATTTAGTGGTGGGGGGGGGAGGAGGGGGGGGAAGAGTGTGAAAACGGTCGGAGTGGGAGAGGTGTTGGGGAGGGGGTGGGGGGGAGGGAGAGTGGGGAGAGCGCAATATGTAAAATGATTTTCTATTATTTTTTTCTTCTTCTATTTGTTGTATTCACCTTTTTATCATTTTTTACTAATTTCTCATCCACTTTATTGCTCTCTTTGCCACTTATCGGATAATCTCACTCATCCCCCATTTTTTCCCTATTTCTATTTGATTATATGAAGGTCCTTGAAAAGAGAAGAGAGGAAGAGGAAGAGAGAAGGGGGAAACTGAGAAGAAAAGAAAGGAAGTAAGAAGGGGAGAGAGAGGGAGGAGGGAGAAGAGAGAGAAAGAGAGAGAGAGAGGGAGAGAGAGAGAGAGAGAGAGAGAGAGAGAGAGAGAGAGAGAGAGAGAGAGAGAGAGGGAGAGAGAGAGAGAGAGAGAGAGAGAGAGAGAGAGAGAGAGAGAGAGAGAGAGAAAGAGAGAGAGAGAGAGAGAGAGAGAGAGAGAGGAGTAATAGGAAAAGGCGAGAGGGAAGCGGCGAGAAGGAAGAGGCTAGAGGGAAGAGGCGAGAGGGAAGAGGCGAGAGGGAAGAGGCGAGGGCCCTCCGATATGTTGATCTTGGAGGTCGAGAGGCAGACAGCCAGCGTCAATCAGGTACTCTCTCGATGGTTCTTAAATCGCCGTATCTTCCCCTCCTTTTTTCCGTTTCTGCACAAATTGTTTTTTTTCGGTGTTCCAATAAAGCTTTATCCGTGTTTATCTTCTGTCTGCGTTTGTTTTGTTTGGAGATCGTATGGAAATTAGTGTAATGTGTGTGTGGAAGGGAGGGGTGTGTGCTTGTGCGTGCGTGTGTGTGTGTGTGTGTGTGTGTGTGTGTGTGTGTGTGTGTGCGTGCGTGCGTGCGTGTGTGTGTGTGTGTGTGTGTGTGTTTGTGTATCTATGTTTTTATGTATGTGTTTAATGTATAAGGTGTATAGTAAGTGTTGCAATGCTCTTATTCGGCCAAGCGAGAGAAAAGCATCGCAGCATCAACAAGGGCAGTTAAATCCCTTTGCCATATGTGAGAGAAGTCCAAATTACTTTAGCAAGAACGCCAATTACGTCCTTGTGTCTGTATCAAGGACCATTCAACAGTTTATAGTCGGCCCAGGTTGCCAAACAGCCCTACACGACGCCTAAAAAAAGAACAGAGTAACCGAGAAAAAATATTCCGCAATTTTTTTCAATACTCTAGAAACAAAAAGTAAAAAATATATAGAATTCTCTTTCAAATCAGGGCTACCAACAACCCCGCGAGAGAGCGCCAGGAAAACACCGAGTGGCAACCCTGAGATGCGACTGTCCGATCACCGGCGGGAAATTATCGTTGTCCGAATAAGAGGCAGGCAGCTGTTGTGACGACTGCCCTCCTATTAGCTTTACATCTTAGCCTCTTGGTGCCTCCTCTTGAAGAGACGTTTAGGAGTTTCAATTAAGTATCAAAAGCCTCTCCCTTCCTTTTGTGTCGGCTTGCCTTGTTCGTTTCTACCGCCGTTTGGGGCGTTCGGAGGGAAGGGGGGGAGGGGAGGGATGGGAGGGTGATTCGAAGCAGGGGTTTCGTTGATTCGTTTGTCCGATTCCGTTGGCGTCGTTTGTTTACTTCGAAGGCGAAGCTTTGATATCCTTATTCTTATCATTACTGTTGCGAAGAATATGATTCCTTCTACTGTTTTTTTCATTTATTTATTTATTTTATTTTTTTATTTGCAACTGTTATGGTGATCATCATTATTTCTGTTATTATCATTATGATTATTAGTATTATTATAATCATTGCTTGCTTTGTTTTTCTTAATACTATCATTACAATCATTATTATTAAATCATTATTATCATCATCATCAGCATCATCATTATTATTATTATCATTACAGCAATTATCATCATAATCATCATCATTATCATCACCAAACTATCCAAC